AACACTCACGTTTTGTCACCTTGGACTCTGTCAAAAAATAAATTGTTTTTTGTTTTTCCAAAAAAAAAAAAAAAAAACAACCAATTCGCATCTGTCCTACCAAAAAAAAAACCAATAGGATAAATAATTAATGTGTACACGTCAATCAAATAACAAACTTCTTTTTTAAAAATTTCTTTTATAAACATGCCTTGCCAGCAAAAAAGAAGACAAGAAACTGATCATGAAAATGCATTAGCTGGGTAGTGTTTTAAGGATGGTGGTGGTGGTTATTGCCACTCATCATCACTCTAGTTATTATTAAAAAATAGTAGTGTTAAAATATGCAATTAACACTTTTTTTTTAAAAAAAAAAAATTCAAAATCAAATGAACAAAAAGAAAAAGAAGATCCATATCAGAAATATCAGAAAGAAATTATTAAGTATTATCAAACGTGATTATTCTGCTCATTTTTCTAGTTTGAATCAAAATTTTGAAATTCTTGAATTTATTGCTTCTTAGACAAAATGCACATCACCATTATCACAAGCAACATTTTCTGACAACATTGTAAGTTTAATTTTGTTCTCATTGAATAGGAAAATCTAATAATATCTTAATAATAATCATGGGCTTTTTTGGAATGGGATGAAATTTAGAATATATTGAATTTATTGGGGGATTTTGCAAATGATTCCCAGGATGAAATTATGTTTGCAAAAGGTTTTCATGATAATGTAAGTAATTATAGATGCTGGTTGCAACTTTTGGTGGTGGTTGCAACCACCTTTATGACCACTTTGGTTTCTATTTTGGTTTGTGACATGGAACACTATAAGTAATTTATAAGTTCCTAAAGCTTTTCTCTTAGAGTCTTGCTAAATCTTAATTTTCTTATAGATGAAGAAAATGCTGGGTACTTTAAAATTGATGAGGAATTACCACCTTATATTAATATTGATATTAATGGACTTGAATACTATGAAACGAATGAAGAATTAGATGTAGAAGATATTACAGAAAACCATTCATCCCCAGATTTTAATAATTGGGCTTTGAAATCTGGTATTTCAGTAAAACAAATGATAAAAGATGCTACAAATTTGGGAGGCCATAAATTAAGGCAAGTTACATTAATGTTAGAATTTTTTATATGCCTTTTTTTAACACTATATATATTAGGCTTGAATTGGCAACAAAATAAAACCACCAAAATGGTGCAACAATTCTGATTAGCTAGAAATTCAGAAAACTTGTGAATCAAAACATGATAAAATTGAAATTTCACCAGAATTAAAAGATATTTTTAAATTGGTAATATTAAAAATCTAGCCTTTTTTTTCAATATTATGATTATATGGTTTAACTATCCTTTGTTAATAGAACAAATCGGAGTCTGTGATAGAAGCAATATGAAATTTTAAAATTAAAAGGGGAATAGAGGAACTAACAAAATTTTTAGAAGAACCTAGGATGAAGTTTTTTTTAAAAATATTAAAACATTTGTAAGTGACAAGTTTGTTTGATATGGCTCTTTTGATATTAACATGTTAATATATATACTTCTGCTACCTATAGTCATAAATTAGTGTATCCTAAACATTCAGTTATGCAAAGAAATGATGTTTTGGAAAGTAGTTACGGATTATATGTAATTAACACTAGTGATGTTAGCCGGCTAATAATCTGCATGCATAATTTCTAAATTTGGTAATAGATTTCTGCGTTACTTTCTTGTTATAGAAATCAAATTACCAATTTAGGTAGTAAACGGCTTAGCCGGCTAAGGATTTTTAAACGGCTAACATCATTAATTAACACATGTCTAATTGAATTATTGTGTGAAGAGAAAAAAGTAATATATAAACCGTAAGTATGCTAGTAAATATCCTGGTGATTCACATTACACAACTAATACATGATAATTTTTTTTGATTTTAAGAGGAGAAATAATCTTATCTTCTGTCAAATCATATTGGGAAAGGAAGAAGAGAATTGATTTGTACGAACAAAAGGCAGAAAAAAACTCCCTGATAGAAATAGGCCACCTTGAGGTTAGTGGTGGTTACAATCTTGTAGATAAACCATGATCTACTTGGGATCATTTTAAAGGCGCAATTGGAAATGTTTACATGCTAGAAGGTTTATTGTATCAATATAGAAAGGCTTCAAATGAAATTTTCTCAAAGTTCATGTCTTTTTTATACATGCATTTGGTAAATAATTTTTATATGACTTGGATGAATATTTATGTACAATATTTCCCCAACTGAAGAAGTTTTAATATTTGTGTTTTGTAGAAAAACATATCAAATTATGGAGAATGTCAAATCTAGCTGATGGTGTTCTTGTAATGAAGAGTAAGGTTTCTGGTCCAAACTGTTTTCTCAAAGCCCAAACTAGTTTGGGCAATTTGGGCTTCTCAACATTTTTTATAAGCATGAACATTAAAAAACTATATGAATCAACTTGTTTTAACTTAAACAACTTAAAATAATTTTGCCCAATTTCAGCTAATAACAAAATGTAGTTTGGGCTTATAAAAAAATAATTTTTGCCCAAAGTATTTGGGCAATTTTGGCTACTAATAGAAGAAGTTTTGGCCAGAAACCTTAATGGAGAGGACACACAAAGCTATTGTGCCAATATATTGGGAAGATCAACGTGGGGATTTTTTTAATTTTGTGTCACTTCTATGGGCTTTTAAGGTATTATACCTTTTTGTTTTGATTACACAATTCAACCTTTTAATATTAATTAATTAATAGTCAATTGTTATTATTCAATTACTTTTAATAGACTGGTTTATTAGAAACTATTAAAGTAGTAAAAGAACTTCACAATGAAAATGTAAATAACATGTTTAATAGTCCAAAACCTCGCAATAATCTGTTAACTTACTCCATCATACCATCTAAAGAAAGTCACTGTGCAGGAATAAAATCAATCTGTGTAAATAGTGCAGAAAGTACACCTTAATGAAACAAATATTATTATATATTAACACATAGTATTTGATTATTCCTAATTTCTATGGATAAACTATTTCAGATTTGTTAAAATAATTTCAGCCACCATCACTACAACCATGATGTGTGTATGAATTAATTCAAACTTTAACCACATATAAAACTCTTTATTTATTGCATGAAAACTTTTTAATTTATTAATTTTTAATGTAACATCAATGCTTCATAGCTAAAAAGGTTTTGTTAGCTAATAAATTGTCATGAATCATATTTGCACCATGAATTGAGACTTGCATCACGAATTGCATCTTGTGTCAATTGTATAAAATTATGATAGGTGATGCAATGCAAATTTTTAGGATTTTTAATTGCAATTTAATAATTTTGATCTCAAGTATAATTGGTACAGTCCAAAAAGTTTTCGGGTCAAAATTTTTAAATCCGACCTGAAAACTTTCGGGTTAGCCCGGCCCATTTTGGAGCTTTACTCTCAATAAATAAAATTCAAATTTCACCTTCATTTCTGCTAGTGTTTCTATTTGTAAATTTGTAATGTAAATTCTTATTCAAATTATTCATTTTATTTTGAATTATTTCATTTATTTTCGAATTAATTATCGAATTAATTATTCTTTTTTATTTATTCAAATTATTTGTTTTATTTCAAATTATTTGTTTTTATTTTATTCAAATAGAAACCCTAGTTCTGGTCAAGTGCAAGGTTTTCTTTCCAGCTTCATATGTTCTAAAATATACTGCTTGAGGCGTCACTACAAGCAATATAGTAAAACCAAAAGGGTTACTAACTAATAGTTAAAGGTTAGCCAAACCATTAATTATCAGAAAGGATTATGAATCAATAACACCGGCTCTATTAATTAATTACAGTTTTTATTAAAAAATTGAAGGAAATTTTCAAGTGTATTTATACTTCTTGAAGTATTACAAACAACATGACTTTTTACATGATTTTGTCCAATAAATATAATAAATAGAATGATTAATAATGAATGACTAATATTAATTACTAATGTTAAATGCCAAAATGCATCATTGATGATGTTATGGTATAAAATGAATTGATTGACAACAATCAAATGTATAGTGAGATCTAGCAAGGGGATACATTGTAAATGTACACCCAAAAACTGCACCTCCTATGCCAAGTGTGGTCCCACCAAAATACACAATAAAAGCAGGATTAAGTCCAGATCGTATGTCTGGATTTGCTCTGTGAACCAACAAACTTCGTATATGATGCACATGCTTGGATGTATACACATCCAGACCCATCTCCAAGTTCTTTCTGCACTTTTCACAGGAATATTTCCGTGCATTTTTTCTGTTTCCGTAAAAAATACGGTCAATGTACTGTTTTCCGTACATTTTCCTGTCCTGTATCTAGGGATGAAGAGTTTGGTTGGTTTGGTTACGTGGAACTGATTTGAACGGTTTGAACAGTTTTTTGAACAACATTACATGAACCTTTATTAAAATACCAAGAAAGATAATGAATTTCAATTTCAAATGATAGAATCCTCCCTTTTGGAAATACATCCATACCAAAAACCAGTTTTCATCAACACAAAATCCATTTCAGCATGTATCCGATCATGAAAAAAAAATTTATTTGTGTCACAATTTGAACCTGTGTAACCGGTTTGAACGGTTCCAAAAAACCAAACCGAGTTCAAATCGTTAGTTAATGAAACCGCCCTATCCCTACCGGTATTAGTATCTAATATTTTATACACTTTATCAGATTTTCAATTCTGCTAATTTTAAATTGTCATAATTCGCATAATCTAGTATTCTGTAAAAGCTTTTTGTCATGGATTCAAATTCAATTGAAATATAACAAAAGCAATATCACAAGTATATAGTTTCCAAACTGGTTTTTTTGCTGATTCTTTGGTTGATTATCATTATTGTCACTTTTGGGATAATGTGGAAGATGATGATATAGTTTCAGTTATCGGTAATTTTATTAATTTCGACCTAACAAAAAAAATCTAAATCTAAATTATTAACCCATAAATGAAGAAAAAAAAATTTTTGAACCCCTTTTTCTCTGACCAAAACATCTTTTCCGTTACATATTGGTTTAAAGTCCGCAGCTTGTATTGGGGATAAAGATTCAATCCCGCGATTCTTCAAAGAATCAATAATTTTTTCTGGAGTGTCATATCATCTACCACTACCACTATTACCATTAGTATTTATTTTATTATTATTAGTTGTTGACAAAGATGGGAGATCAGATTCAGGTTGTTGCTAGTGTTGAGGTATTTTTTTGTTAATAAAAATATAAAAACAATTAACTTTAAAAAAATTTTCATTTTTTCAATACCAATTTTTTCAGAGAAATTTTATCCAAAACCGATTCCTGGTAAAATACAACTCTTCTCAATTCCCTCGTCAGTCCACGCCTATACTTTTGTTGATTTGTAATGATGGAAGTATCATTTTGGGTTTCCTCTTTTGAAGATGTTTTGGAAACTATATAGGTAACAGTGAAATAAATTATATATTATACATATAATTTTCATAAGTGAAGTTTCTTCAATATTAGACATTTCTTTTTGTGTTCTTTAATTTTTGAACAAAGGGATGTAAAGTTAAAGTTAATAAATTGGAAGCTCATCGCCAATTCATAATTGGCTATTAAACAAAAAGTCAGATGTTGGATAACACCAAATTCTGATGACGATTATTTTCTTATTAATTTTCTTATCATCATTGAAGAGCTGTTGAAAAACATATACAACATTGTATGCTTATGAAATAATTTTTATCATATATTAACTCTTTAGCTTCATTGCAGCGTTTTTCTTTCCATCAACTTTTTATTTCTAAAGGAGAAAATAGATGAAATAAATGGCTTTTATAGAAAGATTTTCAACTCATTTTAGTAAAAAGAAAAAAAAACAATAATCAAGAGGAAGGAGGTAGCAGCCACCATTGTATTTCGGAAGAAATATAAAATCTCTCTTTGTGTCAACCAACTTAAAATCGGGAATTAGCGGTGGTATCGGTAATTGTGTCAAACATATTGACGATGATTTTACCTGGCCAATAAACCTACTAGTAATCAGCCTAACAATTCTCCAGAAAACAAACAGTCATTCGAGTACGTTTAGCAAATAAAGTAATCATTGCCAACGACGACGACGACGATGATGTAAATAAAATTTTTATACTTATATACCTTTTTTAATGTTAAAAATATTCCATTTAGCGTCGTAAAAATTGATTAATAAAAAGAAAAATGTATATATTTACGACTTTTTTTAGAAGCATATAAGGCGAGCGTTAAAGATATGTACGTATAAGAGAAATTTTATTTATAAAATTTGTGTAACGACTAAAATATTAATATAGTGTTGATATATGGGTGTGGATTTGACCTATTAATATGTACAATAACTCACATAAAGATATATCTGATATACAACTACGAATTTAAAATGGGAATCTAAAAATGTTCTAGAAATATTCTTGATAATAACTTCCAAATAACTTTTATTTTAAAGTCTTTAAACGCCAGTTTTAACAAAGATTTCCCAATCAATTATCACACGTGATGTAATGCCAGAAAAAAAAAATTATATTAATTTATAAATTTTTATTTTTGTAATTCTTTTGCAACGAATAATTTACTAAGAGTTGGACCAGCATGTTGATTTAATTGTTTGCAATAATTATTAATTTGTGATGATATTAATAAAGAGTCAAGCCTTGATGGTTCTGGTGGTATTTTATACATTTTCAAAATATCATCTTCTGGTAAAGGATCCAATCCTGATTCCTTACGTGCTTCATTATCTTGTTTCTGGTAATAATAATAATAATAATAATAAAATTAATACATGACATGAATACATACATACATACATACATACATACATATTTTACCAACTAAAACTTACTCGTTTTTGTAAAGCAGATTGTGCTTTTGTAACACTTTTTTGCCAAAAAGCAAGATTATTTTGTTCATAATTATTATCTTCAATTGATTTCAACAAGAATTCCAAATTTTTTTCCATGTAAGGATCAAGACTTAATTCCAGTGTTTCAAAATTAGGTGTTAAAGGACCAATAACAGATTCTTTGTCTATGCTGATGGGATAAGTTTTTGGTATAACATTTTCAAAATCATCCAAAGAATGTAAAAGTGCAGTGACCAAATGTGAATTCTTAATTATGATTGGCAATTCTTCAAAAATCTTTGAAAATGTTAATTTATTTTTTACAAGTGATTCTGATGTAAATTTTCCTTCTTTGTGAGCCTCCATAAATGCTTGTGTAAACCTATAGGCCGAAAGTGCCAAATTTCCGCTTGTTGACTGTGAAACATCTAAAACATATGCACATGTATTTAATTAATGTATAACATTAACCAGCATATAATATTTATTAATTCGAAAATAATGTAAATGATATAAATACCATGTATAATAACAACACTTTTATTATTAAGTGACTGCTGAGTGAATTGTGTCTCCACCAATTTATGAGTTACAAAAGATCCAAGATATGTTGATTGATACCATCCAACAGTATTGTGATCTATATTTACATCATGAAGACATCTCATCATTTCGACTTGATATTTGGCAGCTTTATATTTAAAAGAGTATATTTTTAATGCATTTATTTCAACATTAATTGTCTCTTCTCCACTCAAAAAGAATATATATACAGACCATCGACTAGTTCATGCTCATCGTCAGTTTTTGCTCCAGGAAATGGAAAACTATTTGTTACTTCCAATACACGATCAACATCAAGACCAAGAAGTTGTCCGGTTACAGGATTTGGAAAAAATTCATGACAATGTTTAATGATCTTGAGAACGACTAGTCCATCAAGTTGAACAGACTCTAATGGGACGTTGCCCTCAATATCTAGAGCAGCTGTTACTTTGGCTTTTGCAAGTGTGCCTTTTGCAGCAACAGATTTAACTTCCGACGACATATTATAAATTTACTTGACCAATTGTGTACACAGATAAAATTTTTTTTAGATCAACCCTAAACAGTTTGTGCAACCTCTACTATGCCACAACTAAAATTATGTTGCACTCTTCCTACAAGTAATTAAATTTAATTAAATTTAATTTGAGAGGAAGACTTATTTATAAATAGTGAGTGTTACAATTATATTAATGGGTTATTTTGTTCATTTATTATGTAAACAATATTAGTAAAAAAGATCTTCCTCTTTGTTTTTAAAAAAGTATATAAATATAAAATTAATTTAATAAAATAAAAAATAAAGAAATGATAAAAATGAAATTCCCAATAATTAATTTCATTTTTTCGTTACTTTTTATAAGTTTTTCTTCAGGTATTATTTTTGGGAACCTCTCTCCTCACACATACATATTCACATATGTTTATACTTGACACTAATATAAAAATATATATATATTTTGTAGCTGAACTAAAGATAGTTTATCCATCACCAAATTATTATCTTGTAGCTGGAGCAGATAACAAAATACAATGGACATTTGATCCAACTACTGATCCAAATGCATTTTCTGTGTATTTAAATAATCCCGTAAGTTTTAAAAAAGTTTTTATTTTATCAATCAATCAATCGATCAATCAATCAATCAATCAATAATCAATCAATCAATCAAATCAATTATATTGATCAATGAATTTCTTTTAAAAAAATAATAGAAAATTCCAGACTTGTCAGATTTTGCCATTGCCAATACAGTTAATACAACACTTGGTGTAACTACTGTTCAAATTCCGCCTAGTCTAGTTAATACTGGTAATTATTTTTTGAAAGACGGAGGAGGAAGGCGGGCATGTGGATATTAATTTATTTACTGATTAATTCAATGAAACTTTTGTTTTCTCTTTTTCTTTCGACTTAGGGTTTGTGATTAGATTTACAAATGTTGCAAATATTGCAGATATATATACAACTTCTGAACAGTTTGAAATCAAAGCACCTGGAACAACTCGTAAGCAAAATTTTTTGAAATAATGTCGTTTTATTTTATGATTATTTTTTTTTTTAATAATAAATCACGAATTCTTTTTCTTAGCTACTACATACGTAGCACCAGTACCTACAACATCCGCAGTCGCCACTACTAACTCTGATACCGCCGCTACTACATCACCATCATCATCGTCAACGAATGCACCTAAATCAAATTCAGAATCTTTATTCGACAATTCAAATTTTGGACTTTTGATCATTACTATTACCAGTATTATCGGTTGTTTCAATGTGTTTTTATAAATGATTATTTTATAATAACTTATTACTTATTTCATTAATATTAATTAATTTATTATCAACCATAAAATATTATTGATTTGTAATCTTGTTTATTGTTTCTAATGCCAATCAACTACTATTAATAAGGACTATATTAAGATATTTATTTACTAATAATAAAATTCAATGTACAAGCGATGTTGACTTTTATTTTTTGAAAAAAAAAAAAAAAACAGTTAAACAGAAATTTTCAAAGGAACATTTAATGTCAAAGTTGGTTTAGCTGGAGGTTTAGGTTTTAATTCTGGTATAGAAATTTTATTATTACTTTGAATAATGGAGAGTAATTGATGATTGCGGTGCAGCAATTTGGTTTTTTTCATTCAAAATATGTAGAATTGATTACAAAATTCAAAAGTGTTGACATTTTCAGTCAATAATATAACTTCAACCTCTTCTTCCAATTCTTCTACTGTTCTTCTAATCTGTCTTCCAGTAATACGTGCAATGGATTGGTTTAAAGGAGATAATTTAATTACATTATCACCAGAATCAAACTGATATGTATTAATTAGGATAAGGAAATCAAATAGATTTCACCAGTGTTAGTGACAGCTTTATTGTTTGGAGCTCCAAAGAACAAATTTTATTAAAGTTTACCATCTGGCAATGCAAATCCATTATTATAAATACTAATGGTGGCGACATCAGAACTAAAAGTTTTTGATGAAATTTAAAAGTTCAATGGCCTGACGAATTCGATGAAAGAATTTTAAAAAACCAATTGTTCTTGAATGGATTTTGTTACTATCACGTGGCTACTAAAGATAGGGTTTTATATAGGTTTGAACCGGCCTTCTTGCTCTTTGGTTCCAACTTTTGGGACTGGGTAACATGATTAATCTAAAGATGTGTTGTGAAATTCAAAGATTCAAAGAAACTTTCCAAAGAAACATAAAAAATTCTACGGTTATTTTCCGAATCTATTAAAATGTGATACGGTGCCATTTTAATAAAGGCTTACACACATGATGAATTTCGAACTATATTTGTTTTTCAAAAAATTCCTTTAAAGATTATTTAATCAGTTTCCGAATGCAAAACCATTACTATTACTATTATTATTATTATTATTATTAATTATATATAAGAAAAGTGCTTTCGAATTTATTTGATGTGATATTTACCAGCATGTGATGTATTGCAATGTTTTGGATCGACTCGTTCGTTTATCAAAATAAAAATAAAAAAAAATTGTTTTTATTTTTAATATATATATTAAAAAAAAATTCTAATTATTATATACAAATTAATTAATAAAATGTCATCAGTAAGAAAAATTTGTTGTCTTGGTGCCGGTTATGTTGGTATATATCTTTTATATGTTAATTTATTAATGAGATGCGAATTACATAATGTTCTGATGGAAGATTTGTAAAAGAGCATGGAATGAGAGAAAAAATTTTCATTTAAAATCTCAAAAAAAAAAAAAAAAAAAGTCAAAACTACCATTCAACATTATAGAAAATTTTTTTAATTTTGATCTAATAAATATGCATTTTCACAAAATTATAAATATATTTTTTTTTTATATAATCAATTAAATGAATTATTTAGGTGGACCTACCTGTGCAGTCATCGCATACAAATGTCCAGATATCCAAGTGACTATTGTTGATTTGAATCCTGCTCGTATAGCAGCTTGGAACTCTGATAATTTACCAATTTATGAACCAGGTCTTGATGACATTGTATTTGCATGCCGTAATAAAAATTTATTTTTTACAACTGATGTGGAAAAAGCTGTCATAGAAGCGGATTTGATTTTTGTTTCAGTAAATACTCCGACAAAAAAAAGTGGCATGGGCGCTGGTTATGCTGCTGACCTTGCGTAAGTTTTTAATTTAATCAATGATTAATTCATGTGATTGATTATTTAACAATTTATTTGATTCTGGTTCAACCAATTAAACTCATTGCTTTAATTTTTTTAATTAATAAATTATTGTTATATAATTTGAAAGTTATGTTGAATCAGCTACAAGACAGATTGCAGATGTGGCAAGAAGTTCAAAAATTGTAGTTGAAAAATCAACTGTGCCATGTCGTACAGCAGAGAGTATGAGAACAATTTTAGAAGCAAACTCCAGGGACGGTATTCACTTTGACATACTATCAAATCCTGAATTTCTTGCTGAAGGCACTGCAGTTAATGATTTATTAAATCCTGATCGTGTTTTAATTGGTGGCTTACAAACGATTGAAGGAATGAAAGCTCAACAGGCTTTAGTAGAAGTATATGCTCATTGGGTTCCTACTGAACGCATCATTACTACTAATTTATGGTCATCTGAACTTTCAAAATTGGCAAGTATTTATAAAAAAAAAATATTTACAATTATTAATAAATAATAATTATTATTAATCTTGAAAAAATTTACTTTATATAAATGTGTGTATAGGCAGCAAATGCTTTGTTAGCTCAACGTATATCATCAATCAATGCATTGTCTGCAATTTGTGAAGCAACAGGTGCTGATATTGATGAGGTGGCGTATGCTTGTGGAAAAGATGCACGTATTGGACCAAAATTTTTAAAGGCATCAGTTGGATTTGGTGGAAGCTGTTTCCAGAAGGATATATTGAATCTGGTTTATCTTTCTCAACAACTTAACCTTCCTGAAGTTGGAGCCTATTGGAAAAGTGTTGTAGATCTAAATGAATATCAGAAAAACCGTTTTATTTCACGTATTATCAAAACGTTGTTCAACACCATCACCTACAAAAAAATTGCATTACTTGGTTTTGCATTTAAAAAAGATACCGGTGATACCAGAGAATCTGCCGCAATCACTTTATGTAAAGCTTTTATTCAAGAAAAAGCTAAAGTTCATATTTATGATCCAAAAGTTAGCGAAGAACAAATTCATCTTGATTTGACTGAACCTGGTGTTGTTGACAATACTGACGAAGGTACATACATGCTTATATACTTTGTTTATATTTATATATATATATATATATTGTATACCATGATTACGATTGTATTGAATTATCTATTTATTTAAATACTATTTATTTATTATAGTAAAGAAATCCATCTCTATTAGCAAAACAGCTTATGAAGCATCTGAAGATGCTGATGCCATAGTTATTACAACTGAATGGGACGAATTTAAGGTTTGTTTTCAATCAATCAGTCAATTAACTAAAAGAATTTAATAGCAACTTGTACACTAAAATATTTTATTTTATAGACATTGGATTATGAAAGAATTTATTCAAAAATGCATAAACCAGCTTTTATTTTTGACGGTCGTCTCATTCTTGATTCTGAGAAATTACAATCTATTGGTTTTAAAGTATTCACCATTGGTAAAGCTAATAATAGTTAGAGATAGAGAAATATTTATTATTTTTTTTTTATTTAATTGAATAATTTAATTTTATAGAAAAATTTGTAAATTAAAATTTGAGTTTAGACGAGCATATATATATATTACATTTTTATATAATGTAATTAATTTTTTTTAATTAATTTAAGTAAAGACGATAAATTAAAAACAAAATCTTTCCGAGAATCCCAAAATGATGTCCTACCCATCTTTACCGAGAGTTCAAAAACAGAAACGTACATAATAATAATAATAATAATAATAATAATAATAAAACGAACAATTCCCTGTGATTTTATTCGCGGATATTTCATATTTTATTGTTATTTTTTGTGCACCGTGGTTTGCCACATGAAACTATTCTGAGTGACCAATGAAAAAAATTGTTATCATTCAATTCTATTGGGAGGATGGAGAAAATTTGTACTGACTACATGGCACTAATGTGGTGGACGAAAGGAAGAACGACTCTTTTCCCGCACTAACCCAAAATTTACTATTTGCTGCTCTAATAGTAGAGTGCAACTCCCTCCCCTCTTGGAACCGTTGTACTCTCTTCTTTTTGGACCCAACACACGCTCACGTCAATTTCGTGAAAAGATTCGAGCATACAATTCACCTTTAACATTTACGTCTATAAGTGCTCGCATTGATGAGCGAACTGCAGGTACTAAAGTTATATATATATATATATCATGTATGTATCATTGCGTCAATTGATGCTATTTTGTGATTTTGTGATTCGTTACTGAAACCCGCTTATGTGTGATATTACTATTACAGGAATTTACACCTTTCGTATTCATGGGAGAGATGTATCACGATACTGGATCTCTTCTCCCGTCAAATGACAGTACTAGTACACAACCACAGTTTGCACAAATTTACTTCTACGACGCTGAAAATGAACACAAAAACAGATTGAGTGTGTTACAATTTGCGAAGCAAATGGTTACACGCTACTTATTATTGTTGTTGTTATGACGACAAAAAAATTTGATGAATTCTCTGAAACAAGAGTTGTCGACAACAGTAAAGGGCCGGAGGTCGCAAATTATCCATTGAGCAAGGTATTTTTATTTTTATTTTTGTTGTTGATGTTTAATCAAAACAGCATTTAAATATTAAAGACTACATGTTCCTTAATTAACATTCAAAGAGTATATATAATACATAAAGAAATATAACAATCATCTAAATTCGCTTTTCTTTTCAATGACGATAAAAAAAGATATATATATGCTAGTAAATGAAATATATTATTTTAATAATTATACACACAAATCACAATCTGTTTTTATAAAATGGAAATACAACATTTCAATGAATTTATTCCACAATATGAACAATTGAATGCACCTTGATCAATTATTTGGAACATTTGAAACAAAAAACAATCATGAATAAACTCGCTTATAGAAAAGTGCTAGCTCGGAATTTTTTTATAAATCACGATTTTGCAAAACACTGAAAATAATTGAAGCAATAATAAACTATAATAATTTGTATAAGTTTAGATAGAACATTTGAATCATCATGAATAATTTTACGACAGACTAAAAAATTCCGAAAATTTAATGCTTTTTAGGTTCTGGAATATGCACAAGAAATTGCATTATACTAATCACGGTTTAACGAATTTTATGTTTTAAAAATTCATAGTAACGCGAATTTAATTATAATCTGTTGAAACGACTGTATAAACTTTACAATGTTTGCTCAAATATTTGTAGAGAATTAAAACGAAATGCAACCTGTTTAAAAAATCTTTATTATCAGCTAGAATTCCAATTCGTAATACAAATACAAATCCTCATTCGAATGATTCTTAATAGTAGTAATAGTAGTAATAGTAGTATTATTCATTTTTATTTTATTCGAATTATTCGAAACATTCAAAACATTCGTTTTATTCGTTTATTCGAATCATTCATCTTATTCATTTATCCGAATCGCACAAATCGTTCGTTTTATACGTTTATTCGAATCGTTCATTTTAATTGAATCAACTAAAGGTAAATTTTGCAACTTTTGTAAATAATTTGATCAGGTAAAATAATATACTTACTATTATAAGCCTTTTTTTTATAGAACATAATTAGTCACTCTTTTAAAGTAATCAAGAGGATTGAAGCAGAAATTGAACAAATAAAAAGTTAAGTAAAATCAAATTCAACAAATGATTTATTATTATCGAAAGATTTTTAAACAACATTACATCAGCATCTCCACAAACTCCAACTAAATAAAATCTTACTATAATTTCAAATAATTTGTTAAAAATAAATATTTAATAATCAAAATTTGCAATCATAAACTTTCTTGTATATGTAAATTGAATTAAAAAAATATTTTTTATAAATAGAGCTTGTATCTGAACCCTGACCCCATAATCTGCATCCCAATTTGCTATTACTGTCTAGTAATAATAAATAAAATGGATTTATCGAATTGCAGTCCAATTGTGTTTAGGACATGTGACCTAGCCTCTTTCATTTTATTTATATTTAAAAGGTTAACGTCACTTTTTGACCGATTACTATTATTCTCGAATTATTTGTAAATTTAGAAATTTTATTAAATCAGAAAGAATTGTTACGTGACCATTATTTTTAGATATTATTGCCATAATTCCAAAATTCTTTATTCGATTTCATGAATGTTTTTAATCTAGTGGAATGACCAAAAAAATTAGAGCTTTTGATTAGAAATTTTGATTAATCATGTTGTACCTAATTATCCGATTTTATAATTATTAACACATTATTGATGCCAATTACAACCAACATCAATAGATGTACTATTAAAATGTCTTTATGAAATTTATACAAATATGGCTTCAATCAAAAGATAGATTAGTTTCAATTTTATGATTTCTTGGTATTAGTTTTAAATAAACAACGACTCATAAAAATGAAATTATTAAATAAAATTCTTCTTATCAGTAAAAAAAATTCTGATATTCTGGCAAAAATTTTTGTATTGACCTGTGCCCTGATAAAGATCAATTTGACGATAATCAAAACACGCCAAGAAAAGTAATTAGTGTGAAAAGAATTTTGTTAAATGGCAAACTTTACAGATACTGCAGACTTTGCCCATTTCACATGAGAAAATGTAATAGATCATGTAGAAGAAATGATGGATCTCTGTCAATACTATGAAAAGCAGATCTGAATTAAATTCACAAAAAAAAAAAATCAAATTACTTGACTTTTTATTATTAATAAAAGTAATCAATAAGCTTTTAGATCCATACAAATTTTTTAATTATGTCATCGCCATTTTTTTTGAATTTTATTGTAAACTCGAGGTTTCTTTTTATTTTGAATAACCTTTTCTTTTTCTTCCTCCTCTTCACTATCTATTTCTGACTCATCTTCTGATAACAATTCATCTCTTTTCTTACGTTTAGGTTTATTCGATGAATTTGGTAATGTTTGTTGCTGTTGCTGTTGTTGTTGTTGCTGTCGAAGCTGGTTGAATAAATCAAATCAAAAAAGGGTTAAAAAATTAGGAGGAAAATTTAATGATTGATAGCAACAACAACAACAACAATAAATAATAAAATGTTATTATTACTAAAGGCGGTATTGAGTCAGGAACCACTGGGGAAAAAGGTGGTGGTAAGTTCATTTTATTCATCAAGTGTAAAACTTGTGTGTATAACTTTGGTACTGTTGTAATTGCATTCATAATATTTTGGAGACTTTCTATTGTAGGTGGTGGATAACGATAATGAAGATTAGGCAGTGGTGGATAATTTATCCTGATTTTGCACATATTATATTAGCAACAAAATTAACAAATCAATAAAATAAATTGAAAAATATTATTAAATATAGATTACCCTAATGATGGAGCTATTGGTTCAGCTGCAAGTTTAACAGAAGAAGAAGATGATGGTATTGATGGGGGTGGTGGTAAGGGTGGTAAAGGTGGTGGTTGACTATGTTCATTTTGGAATTCTTGTAGTTGTGGTCGATTTTGTGAATTTATTATATCATTATCATGAATTATTTGTTGTTGTTGTTGTTGCTGTTGTTGTTGTTGTTGTTGTTGTTGTTGCTGTTGCTGTTGTTGTTGTTGATTTAATATTTCTTTACTTGGAGATGCATATTCAACTCTGATTCTTTTACCATTAATATCTCCCAAGTCTTGTATTTTATTGAATGCTAATGACGCTGAATTACGGTCCCAAAAATCTAGAAAGGCTGAATTTTTCTAAGATAAGAAAACTATTAATAAGAAAATGCATTTCAATATAATATTTTAATATATATAATGCAAATGAATTCATATTCATTTACATACCATATGTCTAGACTTTCCAAGACGGATTTCTTTTGGACCAAAATGATTAAGAAAATTAATCAAATCTGGTTCTGGAAAATTTGGCAGGCTTTTAACTATAAGTGTTGTTGTTTCCTAGAAAAAAATATTTGATAATTATTTATTTAAAGTTAAAAGGTGAAAATTTAATTGAATAAAAGAAATGTAAAAAAAAATACATGATTTAAAAATTTAACATCTTTATTATTTAAAGTTAATGAGGTAGGAGGAGGAGGCAAAATAATTGAAGATGTTGGAGGAACGTTTGGATTCATTCTGTTTACGCAAATAAAAAGAAAAGATTGTATATAGTATATATATAATAACTTCCTTCTCCCAAATTTGGAAAAAGGGTCGTACAGGAACGTTAAACTCAATTACTTTTTGTATTTTTGAAGACAACTATTTATCAATTTCATTTTTTTCAGTTTCGTTATTATATGAATCATAAAATCTATTAAATCAATATCAGACTTTTTTGTCCTTTTAATAGAAACTATCATCCTCATTGCCATCATATCATTATCAATCACTATTTTTATCATTAGCAAGATGAAAGAATATCATATATACTGATATCTTATTTCGTTTTTCACCCATTCAGCATCATAACTCCAAAATTTTCAACTGATTCAAAAAATAAAGTTAATTTTATCTATTAACGCCAGTTTGGTCTCCATTTGATGACAAGAATTTCATACCAAGGGAGTACGAGCTCTATTGTCAGTCTGCAAGTACTTCCCACATCAACATTCCAACACTGTAAATAACTGTTTCTTTTGTGCTTTTTGTATTATTTATGCCTCTAAGTAGTTCAGGTGCAACATATGATATAATTACATAGATTTTAATTTGATGATTTTTCATCAACTGGTCCACATGATCCCAAATCTGTAATATAACAATTACTTCCATCTATTAATATATTACCACTCTGTAAACCACAATGGATTAAATCTTTTTCATGTATACAATATAATGCCTGGAATAACCATCTAAAAATAGCAATTCCATTTTTTAATGTCAAATTAGAATGATTTTTTTGTAAATAACCCCTTAAAGTTCCTTCTGGTTGATAATTTAAAACTATTGCATAATTTCCATTATATGGGAATTTAGTTATACCATGGCAAGGAACAATCATTGATGATTTAATTTTACAATAATTCATTTTCTATAGTTAAATATAAAATCAATTAGTATTATACAATACAGTATTGTCTATCTTTGTTTTAAATGATAAATTACCAACCTCATCAAAAAATATTATTCCTGGATTACTTGAATTGTTTAAGCTTTTTAATACTACATAATACTCTCCATAATAAATAATTTTCTTATTTTCATCATAATCATTTATATAACCTCTTGTTCATCTAGCAGTGTAAACTGAACTAAATCCATCTTCAGTTGACTTTGTTACTTTTTCAAATTGCTCAAAAGGTATCCATTCTAAAATGAGAGTTGGCAAAGATGATTTCATTTGACATTGATGAATAAAATTATCAAATATGTACAGAATCTAGCAGAATATCTTGTTGATTTACATTTGTTACATACTTTTGGTTTTCCCAATTTATTTATTGCATTTTATAATTCAAAATTAAAATAAACATTTCTCATTTGCATTTTCAGAAAGCTCCTTGTTTTTTTTTGACTAATAAAAAAATAATATTTGATACTTTCTCTATCAGACTTATTAATCTCTGCATTATTATATATTTTATTATAATTTTAAATGCAAGTTTCTTTCTTTCTGGTGATGACTTGATTGATTTGTTGAATAGAGTAGAGAAAACGGAGGAGTTTGAGGATGATAATTCTTTATTTGAACCTCATTTCCTATAAAAAATTATACTAAATGGTACTGAGAATGTATTTAGAAAAATGCATTCCACTATTTCTGATGATATTTTTAACTTTTTATTATATTATTGGAGTTTTTTTAACGTTAAATGATTTATTTGATTACCTTTAAATTTCTCTCTATCAAGAATTAATTATTAATGTATATAAATTTTGAAACATTGAAAAATAAAAATAAGAACAACTTCAACATAAAAAAAAAAGCTTTCATCATTATCAAACTTTGGTGATTGATTCATCATTACTCAACTATAAAATGATTTTAGCATCCTTTCTTTGTTTTATTTTTGACACTTTTAAATTTCAAAATTAAATTTACAAACAAATTTGCACCATAACTATCTTATGTCCATGTACCAACATTGATCAGCCATGTATGTTTCAAACTCAAGCATTAAGGCGTGTTTATGATATTGTTGTGTATCACTATTATGCGCAATTCACTTCAAAATCAAATAAAAATCATACTCTACATACCAATATTGATCACATGATTCATCAGAAGAAAGCAAGAAAAAATATTAAACTAAGTGTATTGAATCAATTTCACCACGAGACTCTACAAAGAATGATAATTACCATTTTTATAACAAAGAGACACCACTTGAATAATGCATGTAATGTTTTTGATGACAACAATACCAAAACCATCAATCGAAAAGCTGAATGAAATAATGATTGATGGGCCAATTCATGATGTGGAGGTGCATAACCATGAGTTATAATAAGATGGGCACGTTTAATATTAGTAGGACGACATTTCACAATGACTGATTTTAATATATGATCAACATGGCACGTTTTCTGTACAATGGACTTTGGCGAATGAATTGAACGTAAACTCATTATTAAACAATTTTCGTGCTTCTAAGTAAAAACAATCACTTGCCTTTGGCCTTTAAAATGCGAGAATTATGCATTTGTAGCTCTTCCAGTTATGGAGTAATAGCCTATCAAAGAAACCTATGGTTTTGACTTTGGAGGCTTAATTCTTTTCGGAAATCAGCTTTATTGAGATCGTTTTAGCATGATAAGACAGAGTACATTAAGAGCTTTCAGAAAATATATGATTCGGATAGTTTTCTTGGGGAAGGAAGAAATTAAAAGCAAAAAACGGTTTTATAAGTTATTTATTATTATATATTAATAAGCATAGTGGAATTTTGAAATGTTACACTAATTTTTTATATCGTACAATGTAGCTTTACAATACACAGCAAACATTCTGGCAATAAAAAGTAAGTGATAAACTGGATTTGAATTGGATCTGA